GAGCCGCTCGCATCGTACGTGGGTCTGTGTCAGACTCGGATCGTGATTTTTACTTCTCGGAATTTGCCGGTGCAATGGAAAGTGAATTTCAGAGATGCGCGAGTAAGCGTGATCGGCTCTTTCATTCACAAGTACAAGCACTGATGTTCGTTCAGCGTCAGGTTTGAGTGTTGAGTTTCAGATGCTGCCATTCAGGAGTGAGTAATAACGTCGTGCTGCTTGTGTAATGTAAGCAACGGAGCCAGCATTTCCAGTACTGAGAGTGAAATATTCGTGAGATGAGGCTCATGATTCCTTAGAAAAGGGAGAAAAAACACAAGCAGTTGCTTTTGTTCCACAGCCAAGGGTAAAACTGATGTTAACTGGACACACTTATTATTTCGTAGGGGTTTCATTCTTCTTTGAGGGAAGGTACTCCACTGCTTAACTTCAGACACTTAAAAAGGTGAACTTCCCCACTTAGTTAATATCATTGTCAATGGAGAGATGCATACCACCCGTCAGAGTAATTCCTCTGACTTTAGCCAGGATGGATATTTGTGGCACCTGTTATACAGAATTTGGCACTGACAGAGAGTTGATCTAGCATTAATGATAAAAAGATAAAATATTTTATTTAGCAAACGTGGCAGTAGGCAGCAAAAAGATGAGCCATCGCTAGGCAAGAGAGACAGCTTAAATCTCCTTAGCTCATAAGGAAACAATAGTTAACTGAGGTAAACGAGGTTTTAAAACAAACCAAGCAATTGTGGCATAATATACACACAAACTTGACTGCTTGTTTTTCTTGCTGCTTGCATCCTTTTCTGCTACCTTTTGTCTCTGGATGGTTGGTTTTAGAGAGAAGAAACTCATGGCAGTAGAGTTCCATTACTCTGAAAGATTGATTATGATTGATTGCCATACATTCAAAATTAGTACGAAGAGCAGTATGAAAGGGTAATAGAACTTTCTCTGTTTCAGTGTGGACTATTTTTGTCAAGTCGCAGGGTGCCGCACAGTCCCTGTGGAATTGGGTGCCCGATACACCGATGAGGAATGGTCTCAGAAGCTCATGACTGTCAGTGACTTCATCAGCCAGTATATTGTGAATGAGGTCTGTTATTCCCTTTTTGTTTCATCTCCAAATACAGCAGTGTGTTACTGATACAGAATTTCTGCTTAGAACAAACATGCTTAGAGGTGATGTCAAGGGAAGGGGGTGTGCTATAAACACAACTGAATTAAAAAGTGTGGCATATTTTCAAGAACTGAAGCTACAAATAGTTATTGCAACAATAGCTAGGTTTGATTTTTTTATATAATCAAATGTACAGCAGCTGGAATTTGATGAATAGATAGACACTTTCTGCAGCAAAAGACAGAATGGTGGAGTCTCAGAATAAGGGATCTTCAGACAGGAGTTTTGTTCCTCTCAGTTATTAAGCTGCTTAGCGAGAGCTAGGAACAAGATCCAAATTCATGTGCCACCAGGTTAAAAAAAAAAAAAAAAAGAATTGATTAGCAATTGTATGTCCTTGTACTTTCACAGCTGAGGATCTGAAGCTCTCATTTCTGTTCCCTAGTCTTCTGGCAGGAAGGATCATGTGCTGTTGCAAATTGGTCTGTGGTGCAGCCTGGAATAGAATATCAGGATACTTACAGGGAGTGAAGGTGAACTAGTCTGTGCACCGACAGGGTCTAGCTGTGAAGACGCAGAGCATTGTCACAGGGTTGACAACAGAACTGTCGAGGCTCCGTAGGAATATAGCTAGGCTTCTTCCAGTAAATTGAGCTAGATAATTTATTGATTGTGGGGATATATCTACACTCTTACTGTTCCAGTGTAGCTCTAATTTACATTTTCAGAAGACCCCTTATGCTAGTCAACTGTTGAAACAACTCTAGTACTCTGAAATAGGACATTGCAAGTGGATGTTACCTATAAGTAAATTAACTGACTAAGAAGCCTTACCCTATATGTCACTATGGATTTTTTTTCTTTGTCTGCTGTAATTTCAGAACCATCTAGGATACCTTGCCCAGCACCAGCTTTTTGATCAGGTAAAACTGAGTGAATGTTTTTATCTTTCTGCAGTCAAGTGTTCCCTTTGTAGCACATCACCTCTAAGGACATCAACTTTACTAGATTGAAGGACATACGGAGAATTCACAGTACTTCTGAAGTTTTTATTCCCACAGTTTGAAGGACAGAAGGAGAGGTTTGATCCATTTGGCTGAAAGGCATAGAAGCAAAGTGCTTTCAGGGGTGAAGACATTTGATCTTGGTGCTGTTTTGGTACAATGTAGCATATACTTACAGGGATATCACCTGGAAAGCAGTATTTCCCCGAAGAATATGTTAGTCAGGGAAGACATGTAGACAGGAAACAGTCTTCAGTGGTGATATGTTCACTGTATTCTGAAATGTCATTCCAGTTAACCAGAGATTAGGTTGGTGGGAGATAGAAAAAGGAATCTCATGGAGAAGCAAGCTTAGTGCATAAAAGATCAACTGCTCCTTTTCCGTGAACAGGAAACCTACTTATTCTTGTGGGTTTCTCTGGTTTCTGCTAAAGCAAAGGGTCTCTGAAGAATGAGAAGCCCCTTTTTTTCTCCTGCCTCTCCTTCCAACAGAAAGTGTGAGGACATTTCCTGCAGATTGCCAGCAGTTCAGCTACTTCTCTCCTGCCTTTGCTGGACAAGCAGGTCATTTGTTTTCTTTGTGTCAAGCCTTGTTCCTCTGTTCTATGAATTACATACCTTTGGCAAGTCATCACATACCCATTTTAATGTTTATTTCTTTATGGGAGTAGATTCCAGAATTGAAAGAGGATATCAGTATCCCTGACTACTGCTGCCTGGGGGAAGGGGAAGAAGATGACATCACCATTAATGCTTGGTTTGGTCCAGAAGGCACTATCTCACCTCTTCACCAGGATCCCCAGCAAAATTTTTTAGCCCAGGTCTGTACTCTACTTACTCTACATGTGCCATTAATGCTATAGCCAGAAAAAATCTTATGGTATGTAAGTGTTAGAGACAACTTGATGAACAAGTGAAGGGTAGAGAATATGCAGGTATTATTTTGCTATTCTATGGCATTTGTCACTCCTGCAACTTAATACTCAAGGTGATCTTGTAGGCCACAAGTGCTTCTCACTGAGATAGACCATTACTTACCCTCATTTTACAGGTGATAAACGGCAATCACAAGAAGCAGCTTTTCCAAGGTCACTCAAGCAATTTGTAAGAGAGTTGGGAAGAACCTGGATCCTGCCATAGTGTACGAAGGAACTTCCTTTTCTGGAACAGCAAGATTTTGGGGTAGACTTAGGTGCATACTTTAATCCACTTCAGGTTGCCCAGTAAAATAGCTACTCGTGCGTGCATTGAGAGTCAGATGAAGCAATATTTGCACTGTGACCTCATTGCTCCTAAGGGAGTTACTGTTTGTAGGCTTCTTGACTTTTAGGGCAGAGTAACACAGTAAAATACTGAGGCCCTTTGTGGTGAGCACTGTACAAGTATTCCTGGTACAACCAGTTGACAACTGTACATCTTCAAACACTGAGCACCCTTTTGCTTACTGGAAGGAGGTTTCTGTTTCTTCCTCCATCCCATCAGACTCTTTAAAAAAAACATTGCTTACAGTTTCAAATGTTTTCCAGCAGGATCACGACATGGAGTACTTTCTACTTGTGCCTTTTTATGGGTTGAGCCTTCGTTCCTCTGTCCTGAACAGTTGCATCTTGCTAACCTGTGTTTTCACTTGGAACCAAGGCTTAATTCAGGCCTTCCTAAAGTGGGTTTTTATAACCGCTGTGCAACTATATATGTATTGCTTTTCCTTGCTAACCTGACACACACACACACAACTACATTCTGAAAGCAAAGTATCCTACTATACACACTGCGTAAAGCTTGCTGAGGATTTTTTTGGAGTGGAATTCCATTATACTACTTGTTGGACTGGGAAAAGATACTTCCTTTACAAACTTCAGAACTTGTATTCTTCTGCCTGAAGAAAGGGAGAGAGTATCTGCCACTGCTGTGAAAGAGTCTTTGAACAGCAGGTGATCTGCAAGTTTTCAGTTTTCAATTAAAAGCTGCCCTGCCTCTTGATGGCATTTAAAGTGTGGCTGTGGAGTACAGGAGAGCACAAGTAATGAAGTGGAATGATCCCTGCTGGCTGGGTGGTAGCTGCTGCAGAGATCATAGTATTTCCATTAAGGAGGTAACCAGTATCTAGAGATGCAGGCTGTTGACCATTAACTTATGCATTCAGCCTTGCAATATACGAGGCCCGAACCCAGTGAGGCAGGTGAAGGAACGACCCATTAATAGCTCACAGCAGTCCAGGTAACACCCACCCCCCAAAAAAATTCAGGGATTCAGAAAATGTGCTGTCGGAACAATAACCAACATTTCCTTTACTTCCATACATCACCAAAAATACCACTTAACAGTTGGTTCTTTGCAGAGCTAATTGATATCTATAATCCCTTGGGGTATGGAAGGTATCCTAAAAACACGTGGACAGTTTAGTAGTTAACCAGTGATAGTGAGGAGTAGGACAGGGCAGGAACATGCTGATACTTGTCCAGTCTTTAGAATACATCTGTGTGTTGTCCTTGAAGCAACAAACTCTAAACATCTGGTGTTAAAACTTGGGTACTGGTAAGATTTCAGGAAATTCTGTTACGTGGAGGGTAGAGGAAAAGGACCTTGGTTAGGAATCATTTGGTACATCACGCCCATCCAGGGTACTGCAGTTGGTCAGAGAACTGACTTTTTAATGTGGGGGTTCCAAACAGATGTGATCGTGCCTGGCCCTTGAAGGCATCTTGAATCCTGGCACAAGCAGCATGAGTAGTCTCCCTGTGCCTAGTGGGGGCATTCCACTGGTATCAGTGCAGGAATCGGCTTTGACTCTTGTTTATTCTGCCACTTCCTTCTCGGCACTGATGACTTGCAATTCAGTGTAGCGTTCAGGTCAGTCTGCTTACCTTATGAATTCTAGTCTTTCAATTAAGCACTCTGGTGAAACACCAAATTTAACGATGACGCAGAAGAGCTAAAGGAGTATACGGCAGCTTAGCAGTCACTCTGTGGTGGTACCCCTGCCTGCTGATGTGAACTGCACTGAAAACACAACCTCCTTATTCTCAGTTCTTCCAATTACTTTCTACCTACGTAGAGCCCAAATAACACTGTATAAATTGGGTGCCTTAAGCTTTGAATTTAAAGTTACCTGTTTAAAGGCATTTCCTGGTATTTCAAATTCTTATCTGCTCCAAGGGAACAGGTACTTGAATTAGAATCACAGAATCATAGAATGCTTTGGGTTGGAAGGGACCTGCAGAAGTCATCTACCCCAACCCCCCCTGCAATGAGCAGGGACATACTCAACCGGATCAGGTTGCTCAGAGCCCTGTCCAGCCTGGCCTTGAACGTGTCTAGGGATGGGGCCTCCATCACCTTCTCTGCGCAAGCCGTTCCAGTGTTTCACCACCCTCACTGTAAAAAATTTCTTCCTTATATCCAGTCTAAATTTACCCTCCTTTTGTTCAACGCTATTACTCCTTGTCCTGTCACAACAGGCGTTGCTAGAAAGATTTTCCCCTTCTTTCCTGTAGGCCCCCTTCAGGTAGTGGCAGCCTTCTCTTCTCCAGGCTCAACAGCCCCAACTCTCTCAGCCTGTCATTGTAGGAGAGGTGCTCCAGCCCTCGGATCATTGTTGTCGCCATCCTCTGGACCTGCTCCAAATTCCAATAGTCTGATTTGTTTTAACTTTTTATTATAGCTGTGTCTGTTTATTACGAACAAAGATTATGTTGTTTCTTGTAATCAGGTATATTTTACTGTTAAATGCCAGGTATGGCCTACAGTTTCCAGTACTGTACATGTTAATAACAGATCGAAAACATTTATTGTAATACATACAGGTATTTGGAAGAAAGTATATCCGTCTATATTCACCACAAGATTCAGAAAACCTGTACCCGCATGAAAGCCAAATTCTTCACAACACTAGTCAGGTAAATAGTTGCCTGAAGTTTTAATATCAGTAATGTTACTTTATCAAATCATATTTGAGTAAGGGCATTGTACTAATGATTGGTTTTTTTTTTTAATAGGTTGATGTGGAAGATCCTGACTTAGTTAAGTTTCCCAATTTCAGAAAGGCTGCATTTCAGTCCTGTGTTCTGATGCCCGGACAAGTTCTGTTTATTCCAGTTAAATACTGGCACTATGTACGATCACTTGATATCAGCTTCTCTGTCAGTTTCTGGTGGTCATAGCTCTGAAGCATGCATTAAGTCTGTTAGCTTTGTAATAGCAATTAAAAATCAGAAAAAAGTACCAGCTGACATCTTCTCACAAGAGATTTCTTTTTAAGCATGAATATGTTCTTCCCTACCAGGAGGTTAGAGGTGGATTAAAAAAACAAAACCCAACGAACTCTTGCTTCAGCATGGTCAAAGAATCTGGATGGGTAAATGCAAAGATGCTACAGCCACTTTATTTTTGTGGGTGTTTCCACTATGAACTCCTCATAAAGAGTATCTGTTAGGTCATCATCTTGTATGCCTGTGTACATCTGAAAGCTCTATATATGGGCACTGCTAGGACTCTCCTTAAAGCTGTATTTGGAACATCAGGTTAGTGGATTTAATAGCAGTGAAAACTGGAGTTACATAAACAATGAGGGATGGTGCTACCCAAAAATGTTTTAAAAAAAGAAGCAAGCTAACGTGAAGCAAGATACCAGTCTCCTATATGGTAAACGTTACTAGTGTTAAGGTCTAATCTATAGTTTAATTGCAGTTAAATAAACCGAAGCTTAATCACACTTTGATTAACCATGATTAACTCTGCCTTCTGCGGCATCAAACACTTCTACCAAGGAAAGATATGCTGCCATGCCATGCTGGCACCCGGCAATATCTTGTCCTTATCTTTTTTTCAAGTCGCTGTTAAAAGAAGAAGCATCCTTACATAAAACTGGAGCATGAAGTGCTAATACTAAAAACGAAAAGAACCTTAAGACAGCATTTTTTTTGTCAACACGTTGCAGACGTAAGTTGGCATTTCCTGAGAAGTCTTGTCCTTCTCCTTCCCAATCGTTTTGCCTGGGAATATTCCCTCTTATTGCACATAGCTGCTTATAACCTGGCCTTATGTCAGATGAACTCTTCTGTGTCTGAAGAAGGGACAAAAACCAAGCAACAGTGCCAAATGGAAGCATTCAAACTGTAGCCCTGGATCAGATACTCGGCCAGCTGCCTTAGTGAGGAGATCCCAAGTGCTGCATTCATTTTTTTCACCTACTTGAAGTCCTGTGGTGCTAGTAACCGGTTTCATTTTCAGTTGTGCAACTGAAACAGTACAAATAGGGAACACTCTTGCTGAGAAAGGCTTCTTTTAATAGTTTGCCTGCACAGGTCAGCTAGCAGGACTGACTAAAAACATTTGCATGTTTCATTCCCGAACATGCACTGGGAGTCCCAACCCAAGATCAGGGAGAACTACATACACAAAACAGCCTCCAAGAAAGCTGTGCAGGCATAACTGTGAAGAAGGAAAACAGGAAGGTAAATGATAGTTTTATTTTAAGATTCTTAAAACTTCAGGAAAAAATAAGTACACTGAAAAATGCATGGTTGCTCATATGTACAATACAGCCTGGCTATTCTGCAAGAGGGGAAAAAATTATTTCACTGAAAGCATGTTTTGCTAGTGTCATCTAGTGCTGAGAAGGAAGCTCTTCTCTGCTCTCCCTGTTTTTGATGGTGACGGGGAGTCTATCCGGCTCATACCTGTGAAAACAAAAGGAAGGTTAACGAATGACACACAAAAAAAGGATTATACTGTATAACCTCCATATTTTTAAAATGCGTTATATATTCCTGTGTTCCTGTGCAGAATGCCTAATTTCCCTGGCTAAACAGAATAATTCTGAAGAGACTGTGCTCTTCTTGGAAGCTCAGTATTTCCACAAGTTTCAGTGTCGTGTCATGTCAGTCCCCTGCTCCCCACCCCCTCCACACTCCCAATATTGTTAGAAGCGATATGCCCAAGATCTGCTAGGGACCATAAGGCCTAATCCTTGCACTTTCAGGGCTCAGTGTTGTCCATGTATGGTCTGCTGTCTGAAATGTGCAACTGAAGTCAGAAATAACTGATAATTCAACTACAGTTATACAGGCAGTGCCACCAAGTATCACAATTCATTCTCTAGTATTATTGCACTCATTTTTTTTTTTAAATAGGTTGCTTGGTACCTGGAATGTCACAAGACCAGAAATCATTACACTGCGGACAGCGTGGTTCAGTCTGAGCTCTAAAGTACTTCCTGACACAAGGTAAATGCATTCCAATTCCACAGGATTCACATACTTGGCTCTGAAATCAGAAGTGTTAATAAAAAAAAAAAGTCTTTCTAACCTGTCCTTCAGTTTAACATGAAGTTGTTACCAAGGGCAGAAGGTATGCAGTGCTTTATTCCAAAGAATGGTTCACACAGTACAGTTGGTGGATACTCAAAAGTCAAAGCTGGTAAATAATAAAAGGAGGTATTTTCCTAGAAACTAGGAAATACCATTTCCCCATATGGAGAAACTTTAGCTTGAAAGAGAGACAAGACCGAGCTATTTGGGTGCAGTAAAGAGACTGACTGGGATGGAAAAAGTAACGTGGAAGTATGTTAGTTGGGAAGATGAGAAGATGCAGGGTCAAGCAGCAAGAGAATGCAGTAGTTTTGGTATAGGAGTTCAGGTTGTAACCACTTAAGCAAGACTAAACTGGCAACTTACGAGGTATCAACATGTAGTGCTTTAGCATGCTATATATAAACGTACATGTTCATTCTGAAGTCTAAGACACAAGCAATTCCTGAACCAAAACCCAGGACCAAAGATGAATGTGTGTCACATGTCACTACTTGTACAGTCCAAAGATAAGATGGCTAACACGTAACGCCTATTTAAGGATAAGGGTTCATCTCTAGCCTGCTGGCTCTGGAAAGCAAGACAGCACAATAATGTTCCTCACTGGGTGAGTTCGCTTTCTCCAAGTTTACACTTGGAGATACCGCTCCAAGACAGGTTTTGTTCCAAGCACAAGATAAAATACCTACAAAAAAAAAAAAAAAGGGGGGGGGGGGGGGTTTTTTCTTTATATACATGGGAACCATTACAAGATTACAAGACCTGAATTTTTCAGTCCCTGCCTAATACTCAAAGGAAAGTATCACAAACTTCGGCTATGACCACCTAAGTACATCAGCAGATGCCTACTGAGGTAATAGAACAAACGTTACCTGGATGGCAAGGCTGTGACAGATGTTGCACTTCCTTGCTGCATCTTGGTAGTTGCTGAGAATGTACTGTTCCATCTCAATTATGCAGCGAGTATGCAGAGTGTATTCTCCATTTCTCTGAGGAAACAAGTGGTGAGACGAATTTGTTTTAATTCCTTTTACCTTTTTTGACTTTTCTAACCACCTACTAGCAAGCATTTGACATCCACTTTTTCCTGTCATGGTGAAACTAACATGTGGACGCTGATATAATGCAAAGCCAAAATACTTTTGATGTAGCAGAATTAATTTGTTTACAGGATCAGAATAAAGGTCTCACACCTTTAACAGAGATGTAGTCCTTGGAAGGTACAGATGAGCAAGCATGCTCTTCTTAAAGAAGGATTTGGGACCCCCTATTTGCACATTAGCAGAAATTCTACTGGCTTTCAGCAAATGTAGGTATTTACTGCTTGAGGTATCTTTGAAAATCTCTACTAAATCACTCTAACGTAAGTAAGTGTGTGGCAGCAGGTTGGAGATCTATGATTCAATGAATCCAGGAGAAAGGGGATTGAGGTCTCACTTGTCTTGGCAAGCAACTGCAGTGTCCACATGCTAAGCTATTCTGAATTTCTCCCTGATGAAGTAAAGGATTTTTAAAATTCTGCACAGTGGCCCATATTTTTCTGATACAGGAGTTTTCAACATGTTTGGCCTCACTGCTTTTCAGGATATTATAAATATAACTCACAGCACTGATCACCCTGAAGAGCTTTCCCCAGCTCTTGTTCCAAGTTCAAGTACGCTGTGCTGTTGCGTACAAAGGATGTCCGTATGTCGCCATGCAGGGCTGTACATACATACCTACCTAGCTCAGGTACAAGAAACTGAAACCAGCTTGTCCTCTATAGACGTACCCAAGGACTTTTTCCTTGTAAATGTACGACCTTTTCTGCAAAAAACACTGAAGCAGCAATAAGCACAGGCCCCACAAAACCATTTCTGCCATCATTTATTAAAGAACAGCTCCAGTTTCAGCCATCACATCCATAGGAAAATAAAAGCTGGACCTATTACAATATGAACACTTGAAAAGATACAGCATTTACCTCAGAGAGCCACTTATCCTCCACGAAAAGTTTCAGAACTTGTTCTGCTTCCTTTTTCTTCATTTTTTTTGTCTTAAGTTGGTCAGCCAAATTTAAAATATCTGTAGAAGAGGCAAAGCCATTTTCTGATAAAATTATTAGGTCCATCTACAGAAAGAAACATTTTCAACTATTAAAACAAACATGCAATTAGATAGTCACGCCTCATAGTAATGTGCAGCTTTTTCAGCATCCATATATACAAGATACACTACAGTATATGGCTTGAACCAGAACTGTAAAACAAAGGCCAAAAGCTGAAATAATCATTGTTACCTTGACAGTTTTCATCTTTGCCAAGAAAACATTTCCACAAATAGAACTGTACAGTGATGCCTAAATGCAGCTGTATTCAGGGGCTCTTGAGCATACTCAGGGGTGACAGATCTGTTTCTTTTTATCTGTTCTTTGTCCAGGTTCTTTTGAGGAAAAATCACTACTAAAGTAAGTTTGTCCACTCTTGAGTCATCAGTATTGCTGAACCTACCTGGCATTTATTGTAGCAATATTACCATAATTCCAGAGCAGAAAGCAGAGCTTTTATGCCAGTAGTAATATATGCCACGACAATGCCATCTCTGCAGTGCTGACATGTGCTTCACCAGTAACGGGGGAGGGCAGAGAAATCTCTGGGTACTATTCAAGTAGTTTCGACTTTTGCAACTGTCACAGAATAGTCAATACTCTTTCCAGTTTAGAAAATGCTATTTTAATGAGTGCACACAAAAAAATATTTTAAAAGTCTAATGGCTGGAGAAATCAAGTCCTGAAAGTTCAAGACAATATAAGAACAATTCATTAAAACATGCAAGATACATAGCTGTGGTCACAACTCACATTGATGGTGGCTGATAAGAAATTAGACATCAAATGTCCTGGAATCTCAGCCCAACAGTTCTATCTGGAACTTTAAAAAATTCTCAAGTGTATGTTTTCTTGTTTAAGAAAATGTTTCAGCATTCTGACCAGTTTATTAAACACAGAATCAATTGGCTAAGCAATAACAATAAACACTTCTATTCAAATCAGCAAATCCAGCTTGTATGTTACTAGCATTAAAAGCTACGTAGTGTGTTAACGAGACTACCAAAGCCAGTGAAAAATTCAGCAGTGACAACTGAAAATCCTGAATAAAGGTGTTTAACTAAAAGCAGATATGTCAAGTCACTACTCCAAACAGCACTCCCCTATTGCTGATTTCAGTTTACCTATAACTGACTTGCAGCAGGGAATCATTACTTGCATTTACTCCATCCCTGCCCCCCCATTTGATTTGGGATAAACTTAGGTGGCAACTAGTTCCTGAACCACATCTCCATTCATTTCCATTCATTTTAAGATGGTAGCTTCACAAATAACATGATTTACTAATAACTGATATACTTACTGTTTTTCTGAATAATTCTAATTCATTTTCCGTATAGTCAGATGCCATTTTAGTTATTTCAGTTTCTGCCAAATTCACCTACAAAAAAAATAAATTGAAATCAAAGTGCCTTTGTATTTCTACACGATAAATTGTAAAAGATCCTCGGGGATAAAGAATACATCACCTTACAACCAAAAGAAATGTCGTTTCTTTAAGTGGCATGAAGGAGGCTGTTCCTTATCATTTTCCGTATAGTCAGATGCCATTTTAGTTATTTCAGTTTCTGCCAAATTCACCTACAAAAAAAATAAATTGAAATCAAAGTGCCTTTGTATTTCTACACGATAAATTGTAAAAGATCCTCGGGGATAAAGAATACATCACCTTACAACCAAAAGAAATGTCGTTTCTTTAAGTGGCATGAAGGAGGCTGTTCCTTATGGATGGCCCCCCCTCCCCCAGCCACATGTTTTCCACAGCTGCCTCTGCCCAGTCCAAGCTCTTAAACAATCCCACCTCCCCGCTAGAGAACTAATAAAACAGTTACTGGTATTTCATGTTCTTACTGCTACTGCTATTTATTATTAGCTCAACTTAATTGGCAAATTGACCCAGAAAGCTTAAAAGTAGCAGCTCATGTTAGAATACCTCCTGTATGGTCTTTTGAAATTACTATATAGCCTTCCCTCTCTGACATGAACATTTCAGAGTATCTAGGGAAACTTTTTATAGGCTGTTCCTTAGCAACTCTTTTATGCTAGGCTGATTTTTGAGTAAGAGAAAAAGAAAGCTGAAGAGGGAGGGCGCTCCATGTTTTCTACCTTAAAAATTCCTCTTGAGAAAGTAAGTCTCCTGTGAGAAAGAAATCTCACTTCAGCACTTAAGCAGTGTTTATGTTAAATAAATCAGATGCTGCTGTAGTCATTGCTGCCATATTCCATTTCCATACACCTAGGCTACTGGCAATTTACCCTCCCACTTCCCTGTTCTACAAGTGGCTTCTACAGCAGCTGCCAGCATAGCAGTGGAACAGCCCCACATAAACCACACAAGACATTGCTAAGAGTGAGAAGCCTGCTGGCACACTAAAGAGCATACTAACTGCTCTGAAGAGCAGTTCTATAATAGATACACTGCAGCAAAAGGACCCTAAGTAACTAAATCTTTCCAACATCCAAAGATGGCCCTTAGGGCAGCCTTATGTTTATTATGCACAGATAGAGCTAGATCTTTTTGCCCATCTGAAATCGGAAGCTGTGCAGACCTTTTATTGGCATGTTATTCAAAGGCTAGTTCTAACTCAGAGAGCCAGGAGGGTCCCCTGCTCTCTCTGCACTGCTCATGAGAAGTCAAACCACACAATGGCAGCCCACCCGCACTTACTAGAGCATAATGTGCTCGCCCATCGCCTTCCGACATTCCTTTCCGGATCTGCATGAACAAAGGCTGTAGATGGCTGTTAATAGTACTGATGAAATCATCCAGTTTATCATGTGCGTAGTAGACTGAAAATAAATAAGAAAAAGCACATATACAAAAACCCCAAATGACTACACATCAAGCAGATCTTTTTATGTTTCATCTGCTAAAACATTTTTTTCCTAGGTAAAAGAGCTAAAAGCTAGCAAGGCAGAATTCAAACAGGCCTGTTACTTCAGCAGATGTATCATTTTCTTGTGCCGCTGACTACTAGCCTTAAGACAAGCTCAGCTCCTTGAAAGTCAGAGTTTAGAGAGGAAGTCCAGATATTCTGCCTCACTGAATGGAACACACCACGTTAATCCATTACTTACACTGACTTGAAGTAAGCTGAACTGAAAATAAAACTTGACCAGGAAAAATTATTATGCACAATACAAAAATATACTTGCTTTCTTTCATTTACACACAAGGGATCCCTTGATTCTTTGTGTTCTGTTTCACAAAGTAATGGCATGTAAATGATCAAGTTGCATACCAGAAAACTTAAATCTCTAGAGTGTTGTAGAAATACAGGTTAATATATTGTGTCATGTTCTACAAATAAATTAAGTGCTAGCAGAAATTCCATCATAGCCATAATTAAGATGGACTTTGGAGTCATTCTGTAGAAGTACGTGCAATGGCTTTTGCTTGCACAGCAACAGCACACGCCCTCAAGCGTTGCCATCCAAACCAAAATGTCAGTGGCAAAACTACTGTGACTTCAGCAGGCTAGGGTTTAAAAAACAGAGTTAAGTAACAGCTCGTAACTTTAGAAAAATGATTGATGTCTCAAGAATACTACCAGTTATGACTAACTTAATGCTGTTCTCGGTCACGAGTCAATCACTTGTGTAACAGCATCAGACAGAGGGCCCACTCTCAAAACCCCACTATACTTTACAGTGTAGTACAATGCAAAAACATCATTCACAGGAGGCTCCTGACCAGAAAATTCATGATTCATGTAAGACTCCTTAAGTGAACATAACCAACAAACAGCAGGAACAATAACAAAGTATAGTATTAAAGTAAATACAATTTTGTCAAATTGTTGTGCCACCTGCCTGGCACCTGTCAGCAGG